TTTAGTGAATAAATGAGACTAGAAATTGTGGCACGTTATTGAAATATAGTATATCATCATACATTTCATGTGAGGCTTCAGAATACTTTTTTTTTCAAATTCTTTTAGAGTAGTCTATAAGGACATATACCTAGTTTCCTGCAAACGTGAAAATAGGTTAAAAAAAAGAAACAAAATCCTCAACAATAGAGAAATAAATACTTATCTAACGCGAAATCTGCAACTATTACGGTAAAAGATTTAAGCTTTAAGATCATGTTATCTGTGGATAATTACTTAGTACTTCATTTATTATTAAGATTAAATTTACAAAGAATTTTAGAGTTAAATCTGATAAAGTTGCGTGGTTGAGGATGTGTGACATGACACTTCACCTTTTTTATCAAAGTTATTTAGATGCCTAATTTTTCAAATAAAAAGTTTATCGACACGCCATATCAATTTCAGTAATGGATTTCTTATCGCATACATGTATTTCTACTTCTCTTCAATCGATGTTGATGTTTCAGTCTATGTGATCTAAACAAAATATATTGAAATTTTAAGGAGGATTTTCATATAGAATTTCATGCACTGCTCTCTTACATTTACCGTGACTTTTAAATAGGCAGTAATATATTCATATATATGACATTTTTTCTTTTTTCCCTTTTTGTTTCCTCTATTCAATAATGAAAAAAAAATGATATCAAGAGAAACTGGGTTATTATTGGTGCTATAAATTTTTAACAAAGGATGCCGTTAGATTGATAGATACTATTGTCTACAGCCTGAGACCACTATATCACAGTTATAGTATTCTCAGCTACAGTGTAATAATTTCCAAACAATAAGAAGATACTCATGGGACATCCAAAGCTCACAAGTTTATAAAAATAAAAGACATCACCATATAACCAACAGAAAAAAAGGAAAATAAAAAAACAAAACAAAGTACACAGGGGGCGGAGTGAACATGTGAACTTAGTACATCGTTTGCTACGTTTGGTATCCCCATCTTTCCATCTACCTTCATCAGTTACACTCAAGGCCAAAATTTCACTGTTGAAAAACTTAAGAAACTTTCGGAACTTTACAACAAAATAAGATAAAAGTTTAGCCAAAACCATATATACGAGTTAACAAGTAATACTAACACTGTTATAGATTCGATTAATCTGGATGTCTACAGTACTGTGTCAATCAGGCACGGTTTTATAATGGTCCTGGCTTTCATATTTACTACTGAAAGTGACATTGGAGTCGCTAGCTTGTGTGTGGTATGCAAAGCAAGAGATAAACACCTCGTGACAACTCACCTGGTCTCACTCCAGTTTGGTTTCATGAGATTCGGATTATTTTCACTCCCACATTTTCTAATTCAGATGATACTATACTGAATAGCAATATATACTACCCTTTATATCATATATATCACACAACTTGCCATAGTTGTGGTACATGTAAAAGTTACTACTTTTAGGTGAAATCTACAAAATCAATCATAATCAATGTTAATACTGTTGGGCGAATGGTACCTACAAACATACAAGTACGTTAGACTCGCGTTTTGTCTATTATAGATAAGGCTCAACAGCGTAATTTGATTTAAACACGCAGTAATAACAAAAACTTCCCGAAAGTAGTGCCAAACCTGGCGTCGGTCATCTATGCATTGGGTGGGAGGGGTTAATAAATTTACCGAACGTTACCACCTTAACGATATTCGATGTTAGCAATGGGCTGATGATATCCTCAAACCGAACACCAGCAGTGGCATCGGCCAAGCGGTTGTACAAACCCATGAAAAATACTAGGCTTATAGAGGACAAAAAAAGAAAAGAAACTTTATACAGGGAACGATTCGAAAATATCTTTTAAAAATCTAAAAATGGGATGAGCTCAGGTGACTCAGTGAATTATACAGCTACGTTAAGAAATCCCTTGCATGATTTTAGCTTTTTTTCATCCATTCTTTTGGTCTTCTATTCTCCAAATTTAATAAATAAAAGTTGGGTTTTTTTCTTTGATAGTCGTATTGAGACCCTACTAACTTTTAGCCGGATTATCTGTAGTAGTAAAAATACGTCTGAATTAATATTTAATGTAGTGACAGTCTTGATTGCTGGTGTATTGCGCAGAGTTAAAAAGTTTCGTCAAGTCGGCCAAATTTGAAAAAAAATCTTTTTGCAGTCTAAATAGCATTCATTCTTTTTATGGTATCGTCTGTCTAATACCCCTTTTCAATCTACTTGTAAAACAAGATTTCCGAAGTACTCGTTTTCGCGTTCTGTATATATAGTTAAAGTAGAAAAGTTAGTTCACCGAAAATTATACAAATCTTTTATCATAACCTCTACCGTTAAGTCAGCATTGATACTTAATACTTCAGTCTCGATTGGCTAACGAAGCAGAAATTTTTATTTTGACAATTTTAATTTTAATCATATCTACATGAAATTGATTTTCATCTTAAGTGCCATCAACAAGTTGTAAGAATCGTGTCAGTATGTTTGTTTATTAGTTATGTTAACAGCAAACATTTTTTATTTGTATTTACATGTTAGCTGGACAATTTGATAATTTATTTACAAAACTAGATAAGAATTTACTTAAAGGTGCTAGTTAAACTTTACATAAAGATAATTAGTACGCACATAAAATGTATACACGGCACACAAAAGGTGTGAATCAACGATGAGTAGGATTTAATCCACAGTGCCATGAGTCTTTTATTAACGGATAAATGGAGATTCAACGTGATAAAGTGTTAAATTCCAACCATTTGTTTTAATGCAAGGACTGTTGGATGGCGAATAAAGATAGACTTTGTCAAGTCGTTACTGTATACAATTTATTTGTTTTAAACATTTTGTTGTAGACAGATTGCCATAGCAACTACCCCCAACGTCTGAATAGGTACCAAACAATTTGATGATTCGATAAACAGTTTTAGATGGTAACATTCTATACCCTGATTCATTAGGTTCACATGTTTGGTCAAGTTTGAAGAAAACATCAATTTTTGTACGAACTACTTGCCAAATCTGTGTGTAAGGAAACAAAATATTTATAAAATTTACGTTGCAATATTTACAAAACATTTGTATTCTTATAATTCTATACATAGTATTCATTTAAACAAGAATATAAAACTAAATTCTCTTCGTCGGAAAACATAGACATTTTCCCGGCACCATGCATTTGTCATTTATCTTCAGGACTCCTCGTGTACTATCCCATCTCTTATTACATTTTGTTATTCCGTCAACTGGCTTGACCTTTCCTGGTGACGATTAGAACAAGAAAAGCATCAGACACAACAAAAATATACAAGTTGAGATCTAATATGGGAGAGTTGAGGTTTAACCTCGCCAAAGGTTCAAGTCCAAAGTCAGGAAGCTCGCCAATGGTTGTCTTTGGTTAATTATTTTAAAATGTAATGCGCTTCTTATCTTTGATAGTCTTGGTTAAATTTATTCATAACTTTCCCATACCCATGGCAATTTAGAGCTTGACACATTGCATAGGCAATTGTATAGTGCTGAAGACCATATATGTATCTTTATGTTTGCTGTCTAGTTGTCTAGACTATATAAACCGACCAGATAATCTGAAGGAAAAACACACAAAAATAAAAACACACCAAAACGATCAAAAAAACAGGTCTACAGTCCTTCTGTTCACTAGTTTATGTTGAAATCATAAACACACCAGTACAGACAGCTTATGTTTTGAACCAAACAAAAATGTAGGGAATACATCGCCTTAAAATATTTGTTTTCAAAAAGCCATCAAACACTTAACACAGAAATGAAAAATTCTTGTCTTTTTAATAATATAAAGAAAGATGGTCCTTTAAAACTGTCAGTACTATCTGAGAATACTATAATACTGTCAGTACTATCTGAGACTACTATAATACTTTCAGTTCTATCGGAGACTACAATAATAATGTCAGTACTATCTGAGACTACTCTAATACTATCAGTACTATCTGAGACTACTATAATACTGTCAGTACTATCTGAGACTACTATTATACTGTCAGTACTATCTGAGACTACTTTAATACTGTAAATACTATATGAGACTACTATAACACCGTTATAGTTGTATCAGATTCGTCAATGACTACCTTAGTCATATTTTGATTATTTAGGTCCTAAATGCTCTTCAACTTAGTAATTTATTTGGCCATTTTAACTTTTTTTATTCGAGCGTCACTGATGAGTCTGGCGTATACCAAATGTTGGTGTTTAAGATGAATTAATTGATATTATGTGTAAATTGTACTTTTCACATCTATATTTTATTTGTATCTACCCGAAATCCGACCTTTTGCACTTTAATAATTGATGAAAAAATGTTGCGCTTTCATAGGTAAAACATCCTATATCAATACTTAAGAATGAGTTCAAGTTTCAAATTACCTATATATAACTAAAGTATATATAACGATTTTATGTGACAACGGAATATACACAGAAACCGTTGGTCATGCAGAGAAGTGAATCGTTCGTTACCGGGTAAATTTGATGATGTGTTGACAGGGGTATATTGTTTGCAACTTGATTATTCTTGTCAAATCTATCTACCATCATTTGTCTTTGTCAAACAAAACACCCGTTATGAGGGTTTGGATGGGTGGTCCTTCCATTCTGTATTGTTTAATTATTTATGTCATTTTTCTCTATTCTTTATATTTTTGCCCATTATTCTCTATTCTTTATGTTTAAGCACTCCATTATTCTCTATTCTTTATTTTTTTGGTCGATTTTTCTCTATTTTTTATATTTTTGGGCCTTTATTCTGCACTTTATAGCCATTAATTCTCAATTCTGTAAACCCCATCCAGACCACCTGTTATATCTTTTCTACAGGAACCATTTAAATTTTATTTAATGATAACAATTTAACAAAGACACGTGGTCCGAGTAACAATACAAATATTGTTTTAAGGCAGGACTAATTCGCGGAGGAATAACAGTAAAGTAACCCCGATTTTAATATAAATTGAAAAATTAAATTTCAAGTTTGTAAGAAACATAGAACTGAAACGAAGGGCTAAGAGCCTATATTGAAGGATATTTTCCGTTACCACAAATAAATTACAGACAAAATGAGGGAAATTGTTCACATGCAAGCTGGTCAGTGTGGTAACCAAATTGGTGCTAAGGTAATGTACCAGTATTATTATATTGCTATATCTAATTAGTTTATTAATTAGCAGTAAACTTTATTTTTTCTTTGTCAAGTTAATTTATATTCTGTAAAAAAAAATGACAGTGGACGGTCTTTCCTAAAGGATGATTCTGTAGTTGTTTGAAATGCTTAAATATAAATAATAATTAGAAAACACGAAATTTGATTTTAAAAAATCTGAATTGTATATTAGATTCCTATCCATTGCAAATAAAAATCCAACTTTATAAATTTGCATCATATAAGATAAATCTTCTTCATTTAACATTTTACTTTACATCAAATATGCATTATTTCTATAAGTAAGGTGCATAAAGTATAACGAATAAACAAATAAATTCATAGATAACTAAATAAATGAATGAAAAAAAGAAAAAAAAAAACTCGAGATCTTGCAACAATATCTTACAGTTTCTGTCATTTATTTGTAAGTTTTATCAATATACTAATATGGAGGCAAAGGTTCAATTCATTTTTTATTCTCATTTTTTTCTCTCTCTCTCTGTTCAAACATATACTAACTTTTTATGCAATACTACAGATAAGTAAACAAAAGTCCTGTTGTAATCTATGAGCAATATATCTTCCCTTGGTAACGATGAATGATAGATGTGTATTGTCTTTCCTTACCCCTGTACCCGGTGGAATGCATCTATTTAAATACTATTGTAAACTGCATTAATCTAAATTAGTATATCAGATTTCATTCCCTCTTAAATCTTTAAAGAAGAGAAGTTAAATAGAACATTTGTTATGAATGATTTGCAGTGAATCAGAGGTAAACGTACAACGTTTAGAAGCGGTATAATTGTAAATACACACTATAAAATATCATAGGACAACATCATTTGGTCCTACGGACCATCGTGATATAGATAGAATAATTATTTATCAAAGGTACCAGGCTTATAATTTAATACGCCAGACGCGCGTTTCGTCTACATAAGACTCATCAGTGACGCTCAGATCAAAATAGTAATAAAGCCAAACAAGTATAAAGTTGAAGAGCATTGAGGACCCAAAATTCCAAAAAGTTGTGCAAAATACGGCTAAGGTAATCTATTTCTGGGATAAGAAAATCCTTAGTATTTCGAATAATTCATACTTTTGCAAACAGTTAATTTATAAAAATGACCATATAATTGATATTCATGTCAACACCGAAGTGCTGACTATTGGGCTGGTGACACCCTCGGGGACGAAACGTCCACCAGCAGTGGCATCGACCCAGTAGTATAAATAGTTATCAAAGGTACCAGGCTTATAATTTAAATTACAAATAGTATAAATATATCATTGAAAAAAAAATATCATAGGACAACATCAATTTGTCTTACGGGCCATCGGGATACAGATAGAATAAATTACAAATAGTATTAATATATCATTGGAAGTTAATTATCAAATTAGTTATACTAGTAATCAAAAGTAGATTTTGTTTACAATCATTCGTTTTCGCGAATGAGTTTTTTTTCAATGGTGTATTTAAACGCTATGTACTACGTGACCAGAAACTACAGTAAAAAGTTTGTAGCACTAAAAATGTATGATAATATGACAAATTTCACAACCAGACGGGAACTTAGAAAGATACAAAAACCTTATAAAAACTTTGCTTCAGAAGTTGAAGTTTATTAAAAAAACGATTTTCTCTAATTTAAAAGAACCTTTCTGATTTAAATTAACTATATATTATATTCATAATTAAATTTTATCCTGATAGTTGTTACAGTATGAGGAAGTTTATTGTGTAAAATACCGTCTGAACGTACACAATATTGCTCTGAACGTACACAATATTGCTAACGCTTAATTTACACCTGGAATGGATGTTTGTTTTAAGTGCCAGCCTTTGTAAGAATCAGGCAATTTAGAAAAAAATCAAAACATGGCCGAAAAAAACCCCCACCGACCTAACCACCCTATTTTGAAGATACCCTCATCCTGAGTTAGAAATGGTAGGTCTTTCTTTACTGTGTGTCTGGTAATTCGAGAAATATCTAACCCGAATAATTCAGTCGTTATATTCCACTGCTCTATGATGGCTTCTCGCGAGTGGGAGAGTCGATCACGGGGAGGGACTGAATTATTCGGGTTAAGAAATATCTAGATATATTTTGGTTAGACTGATAGCAAATTACGGAGTTATCTCCCCTTTATTGTTAATTTCTAGTGCATTTCAATCAAATTATATCTTGAATTACCAGAACAGGAAAAGGACATGAATGTTATATTCATGCACCATTATACATTCTGAACTTAGATTGAAGTAAAGTTGAGTGGGTTTTTGTTGTCGTGTTTTCACCACTGCCTGATTCTTAGACAGATTGACACTTAAGTTCTAAAAGAATCATTATATTTCATCGTCACATGTCTTGTATTTTCAACAAAATATCAAAATCTTGAATCAGGACATATCATGGTTCTTGTTTAATCATTAAACATGCGTAAAAAGATCACTTGTCTATTCCGAACACAATCTTCAGTTCCGAATGAGTTCTATGTAGACGGGTTTTACATAGTAAGTTGTAACTAAACAAGAATGACGGATCATAATTCCTTGAGATCTTTTAAAATCCTGATAGGGTTAGAGGTGTTTTTATTTGATAACTGAAACTTCCGATAAGCACGTTTGAAACAATAATGAAAATAACTAATTCAACAAAAGATTTTAAGCTTTCACAATATTATCTGGGATGAATTAAAAATGAAAGCCAATGTTTAATAATTGTGATTATATCTAAACCAAATTAAACAAAACTTTCTTTATCTTATTGGTATAGTATGTGTCAAGTAAATAAAATAGTAGTTTCATATATGAAAGAATGAACGCCATGATACATTGATACTCTTGTATTTATATTTCACCAATAGATTTACAATGAATAATTTACTGCTGACTTTTATCAGTACGGAAGAACAAGACCTACTTATTGTTAAAACAACACAATGTATTATAAGGAGCATTTAGATAAATAAATAGAAGGTATACGTCATTGAAATAAACACTGTGTAAATGTCGTGCGTTCGAACTACTTTTCTGGATTTACCATTTGAAAGCCAGGGATGCATAAATACCATATTTCATGAAGAGCTACATGACCAAAAAGGGACATAAATGTAATAAGATTAGCCTTTAAATAAGCAACCTGAAAACAACAAACAAAATGACATCTTTCAGTCATTTTCCAGTCTGAAACTGTAGAGACTCATAAAAGATACCAGGCTTATAATAGAGAAATGCCAGTACCATGCAAAAAGCTCTGATTTGGTCCGACAATTGGTTCGTTTAGTTAAGACAAGTAAATCTATATATTCAATAGAGACTACACATAATTTCTCTTTAGTGACAATTAAGGTAAAATATTCCAAAGTCAAAAGCCTAATACAAACGTAAGAGAGTTGATTTAACCGAAAAGGACTAAAGTATAGTCAGGACCCAACCACGAATCAGAGCTGTGCACGAGGGGAGATACATTCTTAAACTTCAATTAAATTACAAAATGTTGATTGTTAATGGTGTATTATAAAAAAAATAATGGATGTGGTATGATTACCAATGAGACAACTATCAACTACAGTCGAAATGACGTGGATATAAGCAATTGATTCCGTTTTCTCTTGTGTACAATATATTTTGTTAATTCCTGACATGGTTTTGGTACATTGTCTACACAATAAAACCCATAAATCTTTTTTTTCTTCATTATGGACACAAACAAAAACTGGGTGTTGATATTTTGGTATGATACCGGTTCATTCCAACCTCGTAGCAACAATTGTACAAAACTATACCGTTATCATCGAACATCTGGATACAGTAACAAACCATTTGAATAGAGATTTGTAACCGTTTGAATGGGATTTTAAATACCAAGTTTGTGGGTAAACCTACTCGCTTTATTAGTTCTGTTTCAACGGTTTGCACACAGAACAATTCATACGTTTAAAAATAATTGAATAAAGACAGCTTTGGAGAAAACCTGTATATTCTGAATAAAAAAATAATAAAGTTATCAAATACTTAGCAATTGAAATTGATTTTGAATCCAAGAAATCATCTAGTTGTTCGATTTTAAGATATACGAAGAGATGAATGTTGAGGGTCGAATTTCGTTTGCAAGAAGACGAGATGTTTTTTCTTTATCATGTATCTACTATACTCATGGATTGATGGCATTTGCAGTTGATCATTTCCAGTATTTTAATCTTTCTTCTTTAATTGCAAAATATTCTGAATATTCCTTTGTGCACGAAGCCAATGATAAACGCTCATCTGGATTAACTTTCGACAGAAACACTTTTAGTATAATTTGAAGAAACGCAAATCTGTATAAATTCAAGAACACTTTATTGTTCCAGCTTCAATATTCGCAAATTCAAAGATCGGCCCAAATATAAAAAAAACAAATAATCATTTTGTATCAATAATCTAGTCCATAGATTGCAATCTTTCCCTTCAAAGCGCGGGTATCAGTGTATTATTTGTTGCATATTTTCTTCATAAAATGCCATTAATCTATAATATCCCCTTAAGAAACATAAATCCTTAGATTGACAGTTCAAAAGGCCGAACACTTTCTGTCCAGGTGGGAATGAAGAACATAAAGACGAGAGATTACAGATATGTCACAATCTCATATTCTCCACTTTCTGTTAAACAGAACCAAAGCTTAATGATAATAAATATGATTTAAAGGTGTATATAATGATAAGTAGGTGTGATAACTTATTTGGTTACTTAAACTTATCTAAATGTTGAAATAAGAAAATTAATTACTTCTTCCATTTTTGTTAAACATGTTCAAGGAGAAGAAAAATAGAATAAAATTGCTATCGATGTCGTCACTCAGATTTTAATATATATAGGTATAGTAATAAGGAAAAATCTTCTGATGGACGTTTGGAAAAAAAATAAGAGTAAAGAATTTGCAAACCACATGTTCCATTCAACTGATATTCGTATATATTCCTGTAGGTAATAAATAAATGCTCAGTACCTAGGAAACACCGAGGCGATTAAAGGTGCAATTTGATAAACACATCAGAAATCAGAAAGTACTACTCAGTTACTGTGTACTCAGTCAGGTACGAGCATCCAATTTTAGTTCGCTAAACGACACGCGCACCGTGCATGTAGCTTCAAATTGTCTTCATATGGATATCTCTATCGTCTGCGTCAGGAATTGCCTGTTTTTACCTGTTTCTGAATTTAAGCGGTAGATGAATATTTTTATCAATTGATGCATATAGCTGACAATGCGTGTCAGATCACGTGATAAGGGGTCAGCAAACAACGACAACTGATACATAGTGATAGACTGTCAAAGACGCTCTTTAATTATATATTGTTTGCTTATAATAAGATAACAGATCAGTGTGTATGCTTGGGGTGCACATTTATTAAGTACAAATATACAGATAGTAAGGTATTGGGTGATTGAAAAGATTTAAGGTTTAAATCAACGTGGGAATTTGAAAAACACATAGCAACGGATATACAAGTATAATAAACTTTAATCTCCGTAAACAATGTCGGTTCACTCAAATACCGACTGAAAGTTTAAGCGATTTGAATATTGTTTGTGATTATAATGGATGTGTTAGGAGGTAAACATCTCTAGGAAATACAACATATAAAATTGATATAATATTTTTATATCAAAACAACAACAAAACCGATGTTCTTGAATCGAAAACAAATGATGAATAAATCGAAAAAATAAACAGAAACATTTCTTGATAGATTCTATATTTAGTTGGATGTCGTTTTCATAAGTGCCGTTGAGAGTTATAGTTTCTCATCAATTTGTCTTGTCTCGGTCTATTATTATTATTGCTCTTTTGGCTTCTCATACATTTGTTTTCATAAGTGTCGTTTTGAATCATAATTTTCATCAATTTGTCTTGTCTCGGTCAATCATTATCATTGCTCTTTTGGTTTTCCATACATTTGTTTTCCTCAAAAACATTGAAAGGGAGGCGCCTCGAGTTAAGGTTGCGATGAATGCATCTAGTTTAGTTTTCGATTGCATATCTCTGGCATTCTTTGTTGAATTTAATCCCATGTATCGCATCTATATATTCTCTTTTCGCTTGAGAATTCCAGAGTTGCTGAAGACTGTGTGATGAATTAAATCCCATGTATTGTATCTATATATCCTCTTGTCGATTGAGAGGTCAGAGTTCCTGAAGACTGTGCTTAACTTAAAATATCTTTTTTGGTTGTGATGTGTCTTTCGGTTGTATTTCCAATTTATGATTATACTACATTTGAAGGAAATAGTATTTACCAAATACAAAAAAAATGATCAGTAAATCGTCCTGAACATGCATGAAATATTTGTCACTGGACGTTAAACAACCAACAATCAAATCAATTAGACAGTACAACAGACCACACAAAGCACCAAAACACCTGACGTACAAACAAGAAGAAACAATGGAATTACACCCACTTCATTTGAACTGTGGTGGATAGTTGTCTCATTGGCAATCATACCACATCTCCTTATTTGTTTGCAATGAAAAACAGTGCATGGTCCAGATAGCCTTAGTTCTTACCCTTACTTAAATGTGATAACTAATTTCTAATGGAAAATCAAGTTTGGATAGTAAGTTTCAATTGACGATGTTTGATATTGATACTTTGTGATAAAACATTCATTGTTTCGTGTATTTGAAAAGATCAGTTTACTTTTACATTCATTTCAAATTCGATACTGATGAATATTTGAAAAAAATCTAGATATAATTCAAGTATTGAATATGATATCAATCCATAATATTACATAATTGTAATTTTATGCTGAGATCATCAAAAACCCTATTCATTAAAAAAATAAAATTCCTCAATTAAATTTAACATTTATATCCTTCACTCGATGACAAATTAAAATATACCTGACAATTTAAAATATTCCATGGCAGATAATTGGACATATGATATCACAAATTATGTTATATTGTACCAAAAACATTAAAAAGACACAAAGGCAGGACATGTAAGGGCAAAGATTGTACACGATATCAAATTTCAATTCATTTAAAATAAATGCACATATCAATGTTATAGGATATTCGTCATCAATTTGACGACCTTTGGAAAAGATCAGGAACCAATAAGCATTAAATTTTAATATAAACGAAGAAGATACCAATGTGGAAAATCTATATGAATATTCTGATGTTATTTGTGAATATAATGCAAAACGGAGCTGTGTACTTGTAGCGCGAAGAAAGCACAACAAATAGATTTCGAACCAGGGTGGAAGCATATCAAATATCCAACTTATTTTGTTTCAAAACAATTATTTGGATTACAAGAAAGCTCAAAATACTCGTTTCAAAATGTAACATTTTTATTAAAAAAATCGGTATTAAACGATGATAGTTTGAAATGTTAATTCATTTACTCTAATCTTGTCCCATTTGATTTCAAAATACTCCAAAATAAAAATGTATCATAAAATGCAAGAAAAAAATCCAAATAGAAACACCCTCCAAAGCGGAAAATTTGATTATTTACGTTTCAATTCTTTTCATGATACAAATGTTTAATAGTTTTCGATTTTAATTTATATCGTATTTCATTTTTTCTGCAGTTTTGGGAAGTCATATCAGATGAACATGGAATTGATCCTACAGGAACATATCATGGTGACTCAGATTTACAGTTAGAAAGAATCAATGTATATTATAACGAGGCTACAGGTAATTTTATTTATTTATTTTTTTATTTACACTTTTAGTATTATTTGCGTAATATGTAATTCAAGATGAATAAAAATAATTTTCAGACGAACTTTTGAAATAAAAAAGGGAGACAATTTAATTGTTTCAAACAACAACAACAACAACAACAACAACACCACCAAAAGCAACAACAACAATAACAACAACAACAACAACAACAACAACAACACCACCAAAAGCAACAACAACAATAATCATCATAATAATATAACATTGACATTGTATTTAGGCAAACATTTAGACATATTTAATAACTTATCCATAGCATTTCTAATATTTGTGTGTTCCGTCAAACTTTTAAATATTAAGACATATCTAATTTCTTTTAATTCGAAATCGTGCTATGAAAAAGGTCTTTAATTTAACTCACTCCCTGCCGACACCTTCTAACATCTGTTTAAATTACGAAACAAACGCAAAAACACATGCTTCTCTTTGGGTGTGTTAACGTTACTAAATAACCAGTCGGTATATCACAATTGGGTAACGTATGTTTATAATGATTTCTACGATTTCTTTTACAGGAGGCAAATATGTACCCAGAAGTATTCTTATTGATTTGGAACCAGGAACTATGGACTCCGTCAGATCAGGACCTTTTGGACAAATATTTAGACCAGACAATTTTGTGTTCGGTAAGATATATAAGCTTTTTACACTGTTCTGAAATCTAGCAAATTAGAAATATTTTATTCCATCTTTTCAATTCAATGTTATTTATTTAAACACAAATTTGAAAAATTAGTTAGATGATCATGCTCATAAGTGGTAAGAAAATCACAACCTACACTAGATTATTGTAAGAATTAATATCTTCTAGTTCAAAATAACATGTCTGTTCTATATATTCCTTTTGATAATATAATTTCTTTTACAGGACAGAGCGGTGCAGGTAACAACTGGGCAAAAGGACATTACACAGAAGGCGCTGAACTTATTGACTCTGCTCTAGATGTTGTACGTAAGGAGGCCGAAAGCTGTGACTGTGTTCAGGGATTCCAACTTACTCACTCACTAGGAGGTGGTACCGGCGCTGGCATGGGAACACTATTGATTAGTAAAATCCGTGAAGAATACCCAGACAGAATAATGAACACTTTCTCTGTTGTACCATCACCTAAAGTATCAGACACTGTTGTAGAACCCTACAATGCAACCCTCTCTGTACATCAGTTGGTCGAGAACACAGACGAAACATACTGTATCGATAACGAGGCTCTGTATGACATCTGCTTCCGTACATTGAAACTTACAACTCCAACATATGGTGATCTGAACCATCTCATTTCTGCAACCATGTCAGGTGTAACAACATGTCTTAGATTCCCAGGTACATTTGTTTACGACTTTTTTTGCCATTATCTTTTTGAATTACATATTTTTATTTTCACACAAACATCTATAACACTTGTATTTATTTCAGAACTTTCAGAATGCATTTAACAAAAAAACGAAAAAGGGTTGTATAAATAGTATCATATTTTTCAAATCAGTCACGGTAATTATCTATTTTATGTAATTAGTTTCCAATTGTGGTTAACAGAAACATATCTGTATTAAACTTTTTCTTGTTTATTGAAATATTAACCTGTGAATTAAAATCTGTCTCTTTTTCAGGTCAATTAAACGCCGATCTCAGGAAAATAGCCGTCAATATGGTACCCTTCCCTCGTCTTCACTTCTTCATGCCCGGATTTGCACCTCTAACATCTCGTGGTAGCCAGCAGTACCGTGCACTAACAGTACCGGAACTTACCCAACAGATCTTTGATGCCAAGAACATGATGGCAGCATGTGATCCACGTCACGGTAGATACCTCACAGTCAGTGCCCTCTTTAGAGGAAGAATGTCAATGAAAGGTAATTGATAATTGAATAAGTTGTGTTTACTTGTTTAGCATAAGAGCATACATGTAAATACGTAAACTTTTCAGATTTAACCATGAAGTTATCATGGCAAAAAACGTCCTGAATATGTATGAAATATTTGCCACTGAATATTTAGCAAACAACAATATAGCATGGAAAAAAGAATGAAAAAAACTCATCAAAGATACCAGGCTTATAATTTGGTACACCAGACATGCTTTTCGTGAAAAAATACTGTACATGAACTAATTTTTATCGAGCGATTTATTTTCGCGACATTCGCTAGTAGACAAATAACACGAATATAAATCGTCGCGAATATGTAAAACTGTTTCTTCCCTTGTATAAAGATATTAGAAAAATTTAAAAAATCGCCACTTAGTCGACTAGAAAGACCTTAACTCGAAATAAAGACCTTAACTCGAAATAAAGTTTCCGCGAAGATAAGTAGGTTTACAGAAGTTAACGTCAAAACGTAAATAGAGGTACGGCAAAAGTAGACATAAAAAGTAAGAGAATTAAATCAACGATATACATGAAAAAAACCAGCTTGTGCTAAAGCAATATAATCAAATACTAGTGGTATATTTATACACATTAAAATATGCCGATTGAAAGAACGAAGAATGTTTGAAATATATTGAACAAACCATCTTTATTAATAAGCACTTCTTTGACCTATAAAATATTCATTTTGACAGAGGTTGATGAACAAATGTTGAATGTACAAAACAAGAACAGCAGTTACTTCGTTGAATGGATCCCCAACAACGTCAAGACAGCAGTTTGTGATATCCCACCACGTGGTCTAAAGATGTCTGCCACATTTGTTGGAAACACAACAGCCATTCAGGAATTATTCAAGCGTGTCTCAGAACAGTTTACTGGTAAGTCTAAGCAAATGAGGAAGTAAAAATGCAATTATCGTTAGTTACTTTATCAATTATCAAGATACATTTAAGAAATACTAAATTTGTAATCTAAACCTTAACATTAAAAGAAGGAGCGAAAAACAATCATAAAAAAGAACAAATACTTCCACACGTAAACACGGAAGACTTGATTAAATGGGAAAATGTATATTTTAGTTGGAAACTAATTATAAAAGGTATACATCTGCTTATAACCCAGTTAAGGCGGGGACGATCTTTAATGGCAGATTTTTGGTAGTCTAGTATGTTGAATTCATCCAAAATTAATTTAGAATCGGATCGACTTCGACATATGGTACAGCTACTTGTCTATACTTGAAAATCGAACGAAGACCTCTTGATTATTCTTTTTTATTGTATTGTTGTTTATTAGCATATATATCCTATATCTCCTTTATTTTAAATAAATTGGCATGGTTGATAATGAGAAAATAATTAAACGGCTAGGAACACAAACCGTTGATATTATTGGTATTTTCACAATATAAAACATTTTACCAATAATTTTTACTTTATTTTTCATTTTCAGCCATGTTCCGTCGTAAGGCTTTCTTGCATTGGTACACTGGTGAAGGTATGGACGAAATGGAGTTCACAGAAGCCGAATCCAACATGAATGACTTGGTATCCGAATATCAGCAATACCAAGATGCAACAGCGGAAGAGGAAGGAGAGTTCGAGGAAGAAGAAGGCGAAGAAGAAGCACAATAAGGGATAAATTGACAATTAAATTATTTATAAATTCCGTCCGTAAACGAGAAAACAAAAATCGTTGACATTCAAAAATGTATACATAACATATGAAGCATTTATTTATTTTATTAAGCAGGACGTCAGGGCAATATTGGGTATAAAATTTTGACATTTTCTGCTGAATAAAGTTACATGATAACATTCTTTGTTTATCTTTGTATTCAGTATATCCTTTTTCTAATGTACTGTGGTTTCATTTATTTTCGTTGGTACCAATTTTCGTGGATTGAGGACAATTGTATTTTCATAGATTTTGAATTTCGTGGTTTTCGCTAAATTTACATAGAAACGTATAGAAAATGTGTACTTCGTTGAACGTAAATTTAATGGACCTATACAGTATACACACTCAATCCACGAAAATTGGTATCCCACGAATAATAATGAATCCGCAGTATTTTAAATTCATTAGACAGGACTAAAAAAATAAGAAAGAAATATCTGTGTGGATCACGAAACTATATTCATTTGAATAAATCAAACAAAAGTCATGTTTCCATCTTTCCTAAAATCACACATGATCATGATTGTCTTTCTGTTTTTTTTTACCAGATTTATTATGTTTTCTGTTAATTTTTGAAGTTTTCTTTGGAATCATATATCACGACATTCATTACTTCAATGTACATCACGTGATAAAACACGTGATAGAAAAAAAAACTTCATCATCTACATATACTCATCAAGTAGATGCATATATGCTCTTGACCGAGGCAATGATTTGGGAAGCCGAAAGGAAGATTCAATTCGGAGAGTCTAATTTTTAAAAGGTATCTGGAAAAGACATGATTCGGTTTTGATCTGTTGCTATGTGAATAATCTCACAATCATCTTGCATAGCCATGTTCTTCTTCGTAATGCTGATCAACTCAACTATTTTTTTTGTACATGATACTTTTTATTATACGAAATTTTTTTTAGGATGTATATCTTTTAAAGACATACGAAAAATAAAATGTTGTTTACTGTTTATTGTGTTTTTTAAATGTATGTTTAGTATCTATTCCGTTTGGAAATGTCGATAAAATTAAAACGCAAATTTTGTATCATATCTTGATAATAAATCAACATATTAGACTGGAGAGGGGGAAGAAGGTTCCCGGAAAATAAACGCTTAAGAATTTCTCAACCAATCAAACATTGATTAAGCTATCAAATTTAACATACAGTCGAAATAACATGTTTTGTATTAGATGAGGGTGTCACTGGAATATCCTGATTTTAAGTACACGAAGGAATAACTGCCATATCCTGTGTTGTAGTCTCTGAGAGTATCATAGGAATACCCCGTTGTGAAGTCACCGAGGTTGTCACTGGAATATCCTGTTTTTAGTACACCAGGGAATAACTGCAATATCCCATCATGTAGTCCCTGAGACCTTGTTTTGTAGTCCCCGAGGCTATCACGGGAAAAGCCTGTTTTGTATTCCCTGATGTCATCCCTGGACATTCTGTTTATAGCTCACCTGTGCCAAAGGGCCAGTGTGAGCTTTCCCATCACTTGACGTCCGTCATCTGTCGTCGTCCATCGTCGTCCGTTAACTTTTACAAAAATATTCTTCTTTGAAACTGTAACGCCAAACTTAACCAAACTTGGCCACAGTCATCATTGAGATATGTAGATTAAAAAAACGTTTCCGATGACCCCGACCCACCAACATGGCTAAAAATAGAACTTAGGGATATAATACAATTTTTGTCTATGATCTTGAAAACCATTAACTAGCAAATGAATTTTAGTCTTAAAAGATGATTTTGATCTTAACATTATCTGAATGTTTGAAAATAAATTATTTGTCATGTACAAATGATGTATAGTCTTTCAGTATAATTTTGATAGGTACAGGTTAATCACAACTACTGAACAGTCTGGACATAGACTTAACATATCCTAATTGACTGCAAGCGAATTTCCTGAACAGTAATGAATTTACCACAGTGAATATATTAAGTAAAAATTGCCTGAAAGACTGAAAATGACTTATATATTGTTCAGTATTTTAACAGTTTAAGAGATTTTCAGATCAAAATGACCGTTTCAGGTCAATACTGGTTTACTTGTGACTACAGATAGATAAAATCTGACTGAATACAAATGTTAAAAATGTTGACATCTACCTACTGTCCGTTTAAATCAAAACTGTCAGATGATTTCTTTCAGAAGTAACTGAATTAATTAAATTACGAATTTTACAATTTTCCTCCCCCCATTTTTACCTGCTTTGTTGAAAACTATTATAGATATAGATTTTAACTTTTATTGCAAAAATGATCAGCAGGACAAGATATACAAATAAGTCAACATAGTCGAAATCATCAGTCGACGTTTTATTCAAGGCCCTTTAATGACGAATTTTACCAATTTTTTTTTTGCATTTTTTGGCAATTATCTTGAAAACTAGAATAGATTGATTATAATTTTAAATAGCACAAATGATTAAAAAGACAAGATCTTCAAGTAGGTCAGTATTACCGAAATTGTCAGTTGACTCTTTTCCAGCTATTTTACGATATCCAGCAATCGTATAGTACTGCAGCTTACTCATGTCTCCGCTGTGTAAATAACATTTAAAAAATAACTTAACTCCGTGAATTGTCTTATCACAACTCAAATAAGTTTGAGTAAGTTCTCATTGATCTAAATTTACATAGTACATTGATATGGCATGAGTACACTGTATTTATGATAAATTTGCAGAAAGATTAGAAGCAGAAAATATCAATTTAAAAAAAAAAACTTGCTTCATTTAAAAGTAAAAGACTGCTGTTAGGAAATACTTATAGTAAGTAGATAGATTCTTTATCTCAAAATGTACGAATTAGTCCACGTGATTTATCGATAAGTATATGATAAAGATTGATTGATTTCGTTTTTTGGTGTTTTAACGCTACTTTTAAGCACCGCTTTTGGGCTATTTCGTGGCGGCCAGTTTTTATTGGTGGAGGAAGCCGGAGTGCCCGGAGAAAACCACCGACCTTCGATAGGAAAACTGACAATCCTAGTCAATTAAGATAGAAGTCGAGTGCACCCGCACGAGCGGGGTTCGAACTCACAACCTCAGTGTTGACTGGCTAGTGATTACAGTAGTAACTACTTAAACCACTCGACCACCGAGGCCCCTAAATGATAAAGAAGTAGCTCCTATTTTTATGGTCAAGTTGTCAGAAAAATGGACCCCAAAAAAGAGAATAGAAAAACAGGCAAAAAAATAAAGAATTTAGAATAATGGGGTGCTAAAATACAAAAAGAGAATAATGAGCAAAAGATATAAAGAATAGAGAAAAACGACACAAAAAAATTAAAGAATACAGAAATGAAGAAATGAAGCCCCCCCAATCCAGACTATCATCCTATTGTATCTGACGTTGTAATAGTCGTTTATAGAACGTGGTAATTTACCTCTCACATATACAGAACAATCAAAAGTTAACAAAATAATAATACAGCATAAAAATTAGGAAATGTGTTATTATTTTCAATGAGACAAGTATCCACGTCGAAGTAAGCAACTATGCCTTCAATAATGAGCAAAACCCATACCGCATAGCAAGTTATAAAAGTGCCCAACATGACAAAAGCAAAACCAAATAGTTTGAATTAAGCCTTTGTTTTTTAATTCGTAAAACATTATTCGAAGGCTGCAACACTACGAAATGAAATAGTGATTTAGAAAAGGAACAAGAACAACTTAATGTCTGGGTTCACACTGACGTTGTGAGTTCGAACCCTGCACGTTGCAAGTGCGTTCGATTTCAATCTTAATTGACTAGGATTACCAGTTTTCCTGCCAATGTCGGTGGTTCTCTCCGGGCACTCCAGCTTCCTCTAAAATAAAACTGGCGTTTAATACCAACAATCAATCAATATTTTTCAGTAGGAAGCGAAACAACCATTGGGTTCTACGCAAGAAGAAGGTAGAGTGGAACCCTAGGAGTCCAACAGACTATAGAATTTGACCATGTCCACGAAAATCACGGAAACGGTTACGACCCCCAAAACGGACATTTTATAGCGCCTTTTTCCGGATTGTATGAATTCTCAACGACAATTTTATCTGCCAGCGATAACGGCATTCACTGTGAAATGGTCATGAATGGTCAGAATATTGGTCAACTTTTCGCAGCTCGTTTTTACTCAACGTCTACTTTAAACGTGGTCATCCACTTAAATGTTGGGGACATGGTTTGGGTCAGACACTTTACTGCCACACCACAGCAGCTATATGGAAATGAGTATTCAACCTTCTCAGGATTTCTTATTTCAGTATAAAAAGTATAAACAATGATAGAAGTATAATTTATTTATAAGATAAAGATATATTTTATTCCAATTAAAGGGCCCATAATGAGCAAAATAAGTTATTGCAATAATATTTTAAAATTGAGAGGCACAAACAATTTTGACAATTGTATACAAAAAAAAAGTGTTGTCAACGGTTAACCGGTTAACGGATATATATATATATTGATCGAATACCAAAACCTTCCATTTGTAAAGTACTTTAGGTGTAACACCACTAATTCGGCCCGGCCAGAAAGCACATACAAGAAAGTAGTACATATTTAACACAAAATAGTTCCTACGCATGAGTGTAACTTTCAGAATATGTAGAATATTTAGGTATTGTTGGTATCAAATGAAAGCTGAATGACTGGTGATCATTGTAGAACACTTTTTGACTTATAATTTTGAATATTAAAAAAACTGCACCAAATTTTATAAAGAGGGTACTTTTTGCCTGTATGTCAGATCTGAAGTACCTGTTTAGGTACATCCGAAGTTACGGGAACCAGTTCTTTCTTATATGCCATTAAAGGTACGTTGATTTTTCCAGTACAAGACACCATAAAGTGTTGCTTTGACATGCAATGATTGTCACTTTATTTGAACTTGAAACAAAAGAGCTGTGTCTGCTTGAAATTGAGGAATTTAACATAGAAAGCAATGGGGCCATGAATTAGTGGTGTACTTCCTTTAGATAAGGCGATTGAACACCAACTTAACTACCGATAAACCGGTTAATTAACCCGAATAATTCAGTCGTTATATTCCACTGCTCTACGATGACTATAGTCTCGATCATCCAGACGCTCCATATGCATATTATGTAGAGGCGTGATTGTTTGCAGTAAGAACGATA